TTGGGCAAGTTGCTTATTTCCACTAAGCATCATAAACCATAGCTTTTTAGACTTGGAAAGAACCTTAAAGTAATTTTGGTTAAACTCTGCCCTATCCATTTTTCTGCACAAATCACTAGTCACTCAGTTTCTGCTTGAAACCATGGAAATAAAAAGAACCTCTGTCTCATGAAGCAACTTGTGTTTGTTTCAGACAGCTCTGAGAAAGATCATTTCATTCCTGTGGCTTTTTTGCCTACTTTTATTTCTGCCTTCTGGGACCACAGAGAATAAGTGTAATCTCTCTTCTATCTGAAAACACTAAGAATTTGAATCTGTTATCATACCTCAAAGTTACTACGTCACTGTAATGTGGTGGTTCAGGAGAGTGATATGAGGGTTTCTTCTAGACATAAACACATGCGATAATTGTTAATATTGTGAAACTTCTGAGATTTAATTTCTTTTAAATATTTGGTTTTGGTGACCAATATGTGGGACTAGGTGGAGTGTCAATAAAGGGGAGAGTGGTAGGGGTCTCAGGTGCAGAATCTTGCTAAGCAGCCTCTTTTCTAAATGACAGGAATCCCATCCCCCTGGACTCACATGTCATTGTTGCCTGGATGCAAGAGATTGCCCAGATTTAGTCCTGATGAGTCCCTTTATTTGGGCCTGGGAAAGCTTCACTTCAAAGAGTGGACTGTGTTACTACTCCTTTACCTACTCCCTTCTAGATGAGATGGTACTATTCTCACTTCCTCTCTAATAAACCATGTGTATGGCTTTCAGTTCACCTAAAGAGGATCTTCAAACCCCAAATTCCTTTCCTATAATTCTGATTCCAATTCCAGAAAATCCAATGCTATTCATAGGCTGTGATGAAAGGAAACCTAGGAACCTCAGTGAGATGTACTTCTACTGCAGAGAGGAGACACAATCTTAACCAGGAGGAAACCAAACTCCTCTCTAGGGCAGTCACGGGATCCTAAACAAGAGGACTGAACTGAGAACTCTTCTGGCCTTAGCATGTCAAGCTAAGCCTAGCAAAGGTCAATCTTGAAGAAAGCTGTCCCTTCCCTGGGGGACAGGTTAGCTAGGGGAGCAGCTAAGCTGATCAAAAAGGGCTCAAAAGAGCTATATTGTCCTGAGAACTACATGTTACATTTGATTTATCTGTGATGTCCTATTCTGAATCTAACGCTTTCCTAGTGCTTTATTTGTTCATTCATTCATCCAACAATATTTATTGGAACTTTACTGTGTGCTAGGCTTTGTGCTAGGGACTGAGGAAAGAAAACTCTTGGTCCAATTTCTCCAATTCCCTTTAAAGCTTCTTTCTGTTTTGCTCATTAATAATCATTAATAATCCTTATCTAAATTCCCTCAGCAATTTGAGATTTCTTCCTCATCCATTTTTTTATGTTGAGTGGTGTCCCCATCACCTACCTATCAGCAAATTAGAAAACAGGAAATAACTCCATGCCCTTCTTTGCTTCTCTTTCCAATTTGTCTACCTCATCCTACTGATGTTACTTACTCAACATAAGTAAAACTATCCTTCTCCTTTCCGTTGTTGCTTACAATTTTCACATCACCATGTCACATAATCTCAGAATATCTTGCCTCTGCTTCCCTTTCCTGTTTAACTTTGTCTGTTACTCCTATGTATTGTGAATTTATATCCAACTTTTTGAATTGCTTATAATCTCATACCCTCTCCTGATGTTTCTTATTTCTCTCTCTCTCTTTTTTCCCTCTCTGACTCGCCTAGCATATTCCTGCTTAACTTTTAATATTCAGCCAAACATCTCCAAAATTCCTTTTTTAAAAAATATTTAATTATTTATTTGGTGGGGGCAGAGGGAGAGAGAGAATCCTTAAGCAGACTACCCATGAGCACAGAGCCCCATACAGGACTTGATCCCAAGACCCTGAGATCATGACATGGGCCAAAATCAAGAATCAATGCTTAACTGACTGAGCTACAGGTGCCCCCCAAGATTCCTCCTTAATATTCTTTCTGCTGTCCCATTCCATGTTACCAAGTAGTTTTCCTTTTCTGTGCCCACAAAGAATCTTCACGCATCTTTATAAATGCTGTATTTTATATTTCTCACTTGACTATGAGCTCTTTGAAGACAGGGACAACTCTATCTTATTCCCTTTTATGTCCTCAGTGTCTCTTCTAGTCCTGGAAGATAATTGGACCTCAATGAATATTATTTATGTCAATCGATATGTTTAAATAAATTTGATGGTACTCATGAATTGAGGTCCCTAGTAGAAGAGAGGTGTTGAAAGAGAAATGTCAGTAAAGTGATCTATATCCCAGAATACATTCCTAGACCTCCTGAAGTAGCTCTCCCTCAGAAGATGAAGCTTCTGACAATGAAATGCATCATTGAAACATACTCCTTCATTAATAGTGATGTTTTGCAATAATAATAAGCAGAATAGCTTTTTCTCTTACTATTTGCACAACTGGACTACATTGCATGGAAAGGAAAATGTATGAGGTTTGTGATTTAAGAGACAGAAGCCAATTAGCTTCTTTCCACTGTACTCAGTAAACACTGAGTTACAGAAAGGCCCAAACAGAACTATAATAGCAGAATGCTGGCAGAGACTAGTGATGCTTTACTCCTGTTTTGTTTACCGTAATGAACTGGTCAATAAACATCACAAATTGTTTATCTATATAAATCTTGACAGATTACTCTTTATGAAATCCATTTAGCAAGTGAGGTTTTCCCATAAGGATGAAAAATGAAGATTTTAAACAGATTGCGGGAGAAGCTCTGACTGTACCAGGAGAGTCAGTGTAATAAAGGTTTCTTTATATTAATATTACAAAAACCATTTATCCTGACAAAATCAATATCACAATTCATCTTAGTTTGGTGTTTCTCTTTCTAAGCTTAAAATGTCTTCTCCTTTATTATGTATAATTTTGTTTTAATAAATGTGAAATATATTTCATTTAGGAGGTGCTCTTGAGAAAGGATAACTTATAAAATGACATCAAACTTGTAGCTTATCTGCTAAAGAGTCTTGGAAATGTTTAAAATTATATTTGAGTGGCTGAGAAATTTATAGGAATCATTTTACTTAAACCTTAATTACAAAATTATCCCTTGTGTCCTTTGCACTAGAAACAAACTGTAATATTCAGAAAAGTCTCCTATGAACTTGGTTCAGGTAAATTCTCTCTCACTGAAGTGAAGCAATTATAGCAAGTCAGATAAGTTAGATATAACAACAGCTGGGATAAGAGACTATAAAATCAGGAAGAGTCACATTTAATTACTCAAAACATTGCATGCTTTCAGAAGCGATTTATTTATTCCATTTGGATTCAGAACTTAATATCCCATGGATATTGACAGAGCCGAGTTGGAGTTAAGCGTGTAGCAGCTAGCTGGAAGAAAATAGAACTACATCAAGGAAAGGAATTATGTTATACACTGGAAACTATTACTCTAAATGTACTGTATGTAAAATAAGTGTGATTGTCTCATGAGTGAATGGTAATAAAAACTGAAATACTCAAGAGACACTTATTCATGAGTGGTGTGGTGATATATATATGCATTGGGAGAAGCTTGCCTCTTATTGTTTATGCTTACCAATATTACATTAAAAGCCTACAAACAATATACTCTAAGTAATGGCACATAATGAAATTAAGAGCAAATCAAATATTTTGTTGCTTCTATAATTCCATTTTAATTTCAGTGCATAATTTTCTTCAGCACTGATACTTAAGTAGCCTAAATAAAACATCTATTTGAAATGGAGTTCTGATGCATGTCTATACTTAAAGGACTTAATATAGTTATTTGTAGGGGGGAAATGTCCTTTTATCCTGACATAAAAAGGGCAAACTACAGTATAGTGGTTTTCAAGAGAAACTGTACTTTATTTATTCCCAAGGGGATATTAGTCCATAAAACAAATTTGCAGTTTATTTAGCAGTCCTTAGCTTTTATCAGCCTTTTTAAGGGTGTCGAATGATTACCCGAGAGATCACACTGTAGAAGTTGCAGGGGGATGAAGAAACGATCCATCCAGCATCTTTATTAGAAATGAGAGGTGAATCCATTTAATGTTGTTTTAAATGTACCACACGGAAAGTTCCTGTTTACAGGTGCGTTGTCTTTTTCCATGTGCTCTTTTTGCCTCGCCAATACTTCATGGTGCCAAAATTGCTTATCCTGATCAATGACATTGGCATAGGCTAAGAATTTGAATAACTTACCCAGAGGAAACAGATTTTGGATTCTATCACGGCAAAATGCCAGACCAGTGATTTTTACAAGCAACTTTAGGTCCAAGAAATTTAAGTTGGAATGAAGTTTTCTCATTATATTTATATCATTAACATCTTTTCATAAATCAGAATAATGCTCTATTCTCCAACCATTCTGGATAAGTGAGTTTAGTTCATAAAATAGAAAATGAAATATAACCTAGATTAAGGCACGGACAGTAGTGGAACATGTCTTCCACAAACTCTTCTCTTAGTGAAATATAGTCTTTATAAAACTAAAAATATAGAGTTTCAAGATTTTTAGGGAGATCCATGGTAATCACACCCAATGTTCTACTTCACAGATTGATAGATACTTAGAAGGATGATTTGTGGGTACCAAATCTAAATTTTTAGTTATCAGAATAACTGCTTTTGTGAGAAATCAAAATTTACAGTATTCTTAATTGAACAACAAATCCATGAGATGTATCGTGGCATGAAAAAAGCAAAATGACACTCTTTTTTTGCCATCAATTAGTTTACAAAGGCAAGGCTTCATAGAGATTTTATTGTAAGCAACATTTTGTTAAAGAATCGTTTTCTTGTTTGATGTTGTGTTTGTTTATTTGTTTTGCTCAAGTGTTCTTTTTCAGTATATTGGCTAAAACAGGCCATCTTATTTCACAATGTTATTGATAGATGTAACTTATACTATGAATTATTAATCAAAACATTATTCTCTTTGATGGTTTATTTGTCTTGTTTTCAGATGTCAGCCTTGCAATTGTCATCTCTCAGGAGCCTTGAATGAAACCTGTCACTTGGTCACGGGCCAGTGTTTCTGTAAACGATTTGTCACTGGATCCAAGTGTGATACTTGTGTTCCCAGGGCAAGCCATTTGGATGTGAACAATCCGCTGGGCTGCAGCAAAAGTAAGTGAACTCTGGCCCTGTGCTGGTGGGTGGATCATCACGCAGGGAAGAGTGTCGTGTTTCTCCCTTTCTCCATTGAGAACCCATAAGAAAGGCTTAGGCACAAGGTGGAGAATTTAGGTGGGAAATGAAAAAAACAAAACAAAACACTAAATGAAACTTGTGTTCTTTTTTCCTTGATTAGATTATTGAAATGGTGATTATGTTAGTAGTGGGAAATTTAAAACATTTTGGTAGAATGAAATCGCTAGTGTGGTGACCAGAGTCTTGGTTTTCCCCCAGACATTGGACTTTCCAGTGACATAGGACTTCAGTACAAAAATCAACACTACTGGTTAAAACAAAATGATCAGTCACCCCACCAAACAAGGATATTCCCAGCCAATTTTCTGTAACACATGTGAGATTTATTCTTATTTCTTATGAATTAAGTCCTTCCATCCCCCAAGTGTTATGGGTACCATGCTATTATTAGTTGCTTATTGATATTAGAGCAATTATCAATGTTTATCATAGCATATCCCTCCTATATTTGATATTTCTCCTGCAAGTTGTATTAGCTGTTTAAATATCTTTCACATTTCTATTTTCAACTCCTGGAAGCCAAAGATTACATCTCAGTATCTTTTGACGTTTCAACACCATTCTCCAGTGCCTTGACTTGACTTCTCAAGGTCACCTGCAGTCCTACAGTTTCATGGCATATTAGTGATTTATTTACATTTACTCCAAGATCATATATCCTTACCTTTTCCAGAATTCCTAAGAAATGCCTGTTGAGAACATGTGGTAAGGAGCCCTCTACAACATATTGTACAATGCGTGTTCTCCTTGGGGTGTCCTGGGACTGTCATGAGTCACAATGAGAGGGAATGCCATAAGTCAGGATAAATCATCATAAACAAGCATGCTTGGAACTGTGTTATGTATATTTAAGGGAGAGAAAAATAAGTAAGAAAATATTGAGCTCCACAGCAACTGTACTAGATTTTGAGGTAGAGGAAGGCAGGGTGCAGGTAATGATTAACAAGATGTATTCAGATTTTGTACCTGTGTAGTTTATCTTTGGTATCCTGTGTTTTGTTTGTTCTCTGTATGCTAGTATAAGTAAACACTAGGCATTTAGGCTTCTTTAGGGAAAGGACTATTGTAATTGCCTTTCTGTGTAAATAAAGTCTAAACATAAATCTGGATTTCACTAAGAATTTAATTAATATTTGCTATTCATTGATTAACTATAGAATTGATTGATCTCTGTGCAACAGGAATTCCAACATATTGCTTTGGATAACAGTTGTAGATCATCATTTTGTGAGAACCTTACATATAACATACCAAATCATAGTGATTTTTTTATTGGTTCTGCCACTAATTTTGAATGAAATATTGGCATTGCTCCATTTTTTTCTACCTATTCTTACACCTAAGACACAGTCCAGGAACTATACCTCAGGCAAAACTGGACTGTTTAGTTAACTGAACACCAAGCCTACATTTCTTAGTAGTGGTGGATATTTACTTTTGTTTCATCTTTCCTTCTCTGGGCTAAATCTTGTCTTTCCAAATGCTTCCCATTTTTAATAGTTAAAAAACTTTTATATTCCTATTATTCCATTTATACATGGAAGTACCTCACTTGACACACATATATACAGATATACATATATATGTATATATATATACACATATATCCATGTATATATTTAAATTTTCTCTTTAAAATTGTGATCTTTACTGTTTTTTCCCATTTTATTTTATTTTATTTCTTTTCAGTGTTCCAGAATTCACTGTTTATGCACCACACCCAGTGCTCCATGCAATACATGCCCTCCATAATACCCACCACCAGGCTCACCCAACCCCCTAACTCCCTCCCCTCCAAAACCCTCAGTTTGTTTCTTAGAGTCCACAGTCTCTCATGGTTTTTCTCCCCCTCCAATTTCCCCCAACTCACTTCTCTGCTCCATCTACCAATGTCCTCCATGTTATTCCTTATGCTTCACAAGTAAGTGAAACCATATGATACTTGACTCTCTCTGCTTGACTTACTTTACTCAGCATAATCTCTTCCAGTCCCGTCCTTGTTGATACAAAAGCGGGAGATTCATCCTTTCTGATGGAGGCATAATACTCTATTACATATATGGACCACATCTTCTTTATCCATTTGCCTGTTGAAGGGCATCTTGGTTCTTCCCACAGTTTGGTGACTGTGGCCATTGCTGCTATGAGCATTGGGGTACAGATGGCCCTTCTTTTCACTACAGCAGTATCTTTAGGGTAAATACCCAGTAGTACAATTGTAGGGTCATAGGAAAGCTCTATTTTTAATTTCTTGAGGAATCTCCACACTGTTTTCCAAAGTGGCTGCACCAACTTGCATTCCCGCCAACGGTGTAAGAGGGTTCCCCTTTGTCCAAATCCTCTCCAACACACGTTGTTTCCTGTCTTGTTAATTTTGGCCATTCTAACTGGTGTAAGGTGGTATCTCAGTGTGGTTTTGATTTTAATCTCCCTGATGGCTAATGAGGATGAACATTTTTTCATGTGTCTGTTAGCCGTTTATATGTCGTCTTTGGGGAAGTGTCTGTTCAGGTCTTCTGCCCATTTTTTGACATGATTATCTGTTTTGTGTGTGTTGAGTTTGAGGAGTTCTTTATAGATCTTGGATATCGGCCCTTTGTCTGTAGTGTCATTTGTGAATATCTTCTCTCATTCCATGGGTTGCCTCTTTGTTTTGTTGACTGTTTCCTTTGCTGTGCAGAAGGTTTTGACCTTGATGAAGTCCCAAAAGTTCATTTTTGTTTTTGTTTCCTTTGCCTTTGGAGACATATCTTAAAAGAAGTTTCTGTGGCCCATATTGAAGAGGTTACTGCCTATCTTCTCCTCTAGGATTTTGATACATTCCTGCCTCACGTTGAGGTCTTCCATCCATTTTGAGTTTATCTTTGTGTATGGGGTAAGAGAATGGTCGAGTTTCATTCTTCTACATGTAGCTGTCCAATTTTCCCAACACCATTTATTAAAGAGAGTGTCTTTTTTCCACTGTATACTTTTTCCTGCTTTGTTGAAGATTATTTGACCGTAGGGTTGAGGGTCCATATCTGGGTTCTCTACTCTGTTCCACTGGTCTATGTGTCTGTTTCTGTGCCAGTACCATGCTGTATTGGTGATCACAGCTTTGTAGTAAAGCTTGAAATCAGGCAATGTGATGCCCCCAGTTTTGTGTTTCTTTTTCAGCATTCCTTAGCAATGTGGGGTCTCTTCTTGTTCCATACAAATTTTAGGATTTTTGTTCCAGCTCTTTGAAAAATGCTGGTGGAATTTTGATCAGGATGTCATTGAAAGTATAGATTGGTCTAGGCAGTATAGATATTTTAACAATGTTTATTCTTATCCATAAGCATGGAATGGTCTTCCATCTTTTTGTGTCTTCTTCAGTTTCTTTCATGAGTGTTCTGTTGTTCCTCGAGCATAGATCCTTAACCTCTTTGGTTAGGTTTATTCCCAGGTATCTTATGGCTCTTGGTGCTATAGTAAATGGAATAGATTCTCTGATTTCCTTTCTGTTGAATACATTTGTTCAACCACTTACAGTAGTTGTGGCTGCTGTTGTTTTGGGTGTGTGTTTCACAAAATTTACAAAACACTGGGTATGCAAATTTAGAGACTCAGTACCTACAGAGGTAGTTCATTCAAGAAAAAAAAAATTAGACAAGATTCTTGCCTTTAAAAGAGCTTGAAACATAGTCAGCAGAAATTATGGCTACACTCACAGTAGAAGGGAGTGAACAAGGGCCACAGGAAATGCTGACTGTGGCATGAGTATGAAGAGAGGCTGCTTTCCTTTCTGTTCTACCTTGATTTTTACATGGTACTTGCTTTTTATCCTAGCAACAGCCAGAACAACCAACTTCATAAAGATATGGTGCTATTGAAAGGAATGTAGTGCTATCTATTGTTAAAACTGTGAACTACCTCGGGCTGGTATTTTCCTTTGTGTCCAACAGATGTCAAGCATGTGTTTTCCTTGATCATTAGAATGTTTCATAGTGTCCTTCTACACAGTTTGGGGACCACAGGTTTGTGATTATTATTTTTTCCACTTAGAGGCTACTGGCAATAGGTTAACAATATCATCTGTAATTTTTTCCTTTTTTTTTTTTTTTTTTTTTTTGATGGGGAGTTGAGTTGGGAATCTCAGCATATAATTTCCAGAGTGCAGGAGGAGAATTGAATTCAGTTAAGGTAGTTAGACCCTCTCTCATAATCTGCTTCTTATTTCTTGATTCATTTCTTTCCTATCAATATTAGTTTCATGCTTTCAAAATGATAGTCATTCTCCTTGATAGAAGTAATACAAAACAGGTACTAAATAATTCTTCCTTCTGTATGCTTTCTTAGTGAATGAAATGAAATTTCATTTGCCCTAAACTTCTAACTATGAACTTAACTAAATATATATTTAGTTAATAATAGTTAATAGCTAATAATTAATAGTTAATAATTAAGTTAATTAATAAAAAAGTCTAAAAAAGTTTTAAAAAGTTTAAAAAGTAAATAATTAATGAAAAATAGTTAATAATATATAATAAGTAATAAATAAAATTTATAAATTTATATATAAATATGAAATACATATTTATATATAAATATAAAATCTTTAAAATAAATAATAGTCAATAATTAATAATAGTTAATAGTTAATAAATAACTATATAGTTAAGTTCATAGTTTTTTATATATAATGGTTATATATATATAATTCATAACTCATTTGTGTTTTAACTCTTCTTGACACTACTCCTGTGTTTATCTTTGGTTATTTATCCATCTTTTTATCACTCATATTTTTTCCTTTATCCTTACTTATCAGAGAGGCTTTTATAACTAATATTTAAAAATATTAAATTGAAAATATTTAAAAAATATTTTTATTGTAGTAATATATATATGACATAAAATGGACCATATTAGCCATTTTCAAATGCATAGTTCAG